CCTCTTGGATACAAGGGTCAAGAGCTCTGGTTCCTCCTGCACCGCCGCCGTCAATCAGTATTGTTGTGGGTTGATAATCCCAATGTTCCTCGCTGAATATCATTGCCGACGCCATTTGGAGTACGCTTTGGCGCACGACGGGTAATTCTTTGCTTGAGCTGCAGACTTCGTTTCCATACGACGGGCTTCGTGCAACGTGTACTCCATTTGCTTTTCGATGATCTGAGTTAGTTCTTCGCTGCATCCTAGAGACATGCAAATGATGATTGCTGCTCGTAGGAAATGGAGACTGCTCGAGATTTCCTCTCTCCTCTTCCCATTCCGATTCATTATCTGTGTCCTCATGGCCGCTCGTATGTGAGGTGCTTGGAAGCAGTGTCTTCATCGTTAGTGCGGTCGTTTCCCGAAGAAAGATGATGTCGTCGATTGCGTCTAGAATCTCGGAAACATCGAAGTGATCGCCGCATACAGTTTCCTTCTGTATGACGGTTGCGCAGATGTCTTCAGGAAATTTGGACAGAATCATTCTGCGCCAAATTCTGTCTGCACTCATCTTCATTCCAGTTTTTTCCAAGTGGATGATCCGTGAATTGATTGCTTCGAACGTTTCTCGGCAACTTTCGGGATTGTCTTCTGCTCGTTGAAGTCGTTCGATTTCGTTGATGAGTATGTCTGCCATGTTGGCAGAGCGGTCAAAGTGCTTCTTTAGAATGTCTACGGCTGTCTTGTACTTGTCTGCGACAACAGGGATGCAGTTCAGAGCAGCAGCCGCTTTTCCTTTGAGTGCTTGCTTCAAAAAAAGGAATTTGTCGCCATTTGATAAGTCGTCATCGCAGTGAATCAGTGATTCGAACACTGTCCAAAAACTGTTGAACTCTCTGAAGTTTCCAGAGAATGTGGGAATCTCTAGAAGCGGTTTTCGCACTTTGATCTGGCGTTCACTTCGTTCCGTTACTGAGCCTTGTCCTATCTCGCTTGCTGATTGGCTTGGGATACTAGGAGCAGGCGTATGCAAAAGTGTGGTTTGCTCGCTCATTTCATGTTGTCTGAACTGTATTCGGTTTTGCCATTGAACTGCCATCACTTCCAGATCGAGTGCTTCCAGCTCCAGATGCTTGCTAAGTTCAACCATCAGCTTCTCTCGTTCCTTTTCTTCACTACGTGTGATGTACTCAATGGCAGCGTTTTGCTGTGTTTCTTGCAGTTTCACAGCGTTTTCCAGAGAATTGAGGAGATTTGTTATTACTCCTGCCTTTTCTTTGATATAATCTTCACATTCCCCTTTTGTTGTTGGAAATATGAAGGGGACGTCTATGTTCTCCACTTCGGACTCGTAGGATTTTACGAGCTTGCAGGCGTTATTTATTTTGATTTTGAAAAGTTGAAGTGCGGCCATCTTCGAGATTCAATTCCGACTTCTTTTCCTTTTGTCCTACAGCAAGTTGGTTGCTTTGCAGTTTCTTCAATGTACAAGTCAGCGAGGTTTTCGCAAACTTGCAGGCTCGTTAGTGGTGCTGTTGAATAGAGACAGCTGTGTGCTGATCTCTGATGAGCAAGCGTGCTTAGGTGGCTTGAACGCTGTGCTGACTGGTAAGGTGGCTTGGACCTTGACCAGATAAGGATTGGGTTTCAATCCTTCAAGTCAAGAGTTCTTGGTCGAACTTTGACTTTTTTGGCAAAATGAGCTCTTGTGACTCAAGTTACCTTCCTTTCAAATCTCAATGTATTGATCTCCGGTCCTTGGATAGGATTCGCGAGAGATCTATGAGATTGATTGGAAATTTGCACCCACAAAATTTTGTTCCGCTCTCTGGATCACTTACGAAAAGGATTCACAGAAAGTTTCACGGTCTTATGTGGTTATGTGCTGCACTCACAAAATTTGTTCCGCTCTCTGGATCACTTACGGAAAGGATACACAGAAAGTTTCACTTTTAATGTGGTAATGTGCTACCTACTGATTTCTCTTACACCTTTCTGGATCGCTTACGAAAAGGATACACAGAAATTTTCAGATGGTCAGTGGTATTCCTACTAATTTCTCTTACACCTCTTTGGATCTCTTACGAAAAGGATACACAAAGATTTTCAGATAGTCAGTGGTAGCCTTCCGATTTCTCTTACACCTCTTTGGATCGCTTACGAAAAGGATACACAAAGATTTTCAGATAGTCGATTGGTTCTTCTTCCTGCCACGCGGGTCTTGTGGCCTCGATTCCTCCGGTTGCAGATGGAATACGAGGTGGTTTCACTGGTCGATGCACCAATTTGGTGGGAACCAAGTGTCGTAGGCGATAGTGGTGTCGATAATAGATTTATCCACAGACGAACCCGGTGATGAACCGGGGGAGCAACCTATAATACAATCGGGGGCTCCTTATATAGGTAGTAAGGCGGAGCTGACCCGTGCACAATCGGAATGTCCACGAAATATATGCAAGAAGGAGGATGCCGCGGCTTGGCGCGGCCCCTGGAAGATAGGCGCCACTCATTGGTGAGTGATTCGGCACTTAAATATGAGCGATTGGGGAATATAGCCTATGGGGAATACCCGTAAGCTATTAGGATTATAGAATTGTTGAGGTTGATGATACATAAATCATCAACACCGGACAACCGTCTCCTTTCAGCTTCATTGAATGCCTTGACTATTGGGGAGTCTACCTATAAGCGAAATTCTTGCAAAAAAGGTGGCACTAGGAAACTACGATTGTACCAGCTTCTTAACGTCGTAGTTTCTCTCTGATTGTGAATATTGCGCCCTGATCAGCGGTTGATCGTCGTCTTCTTGCTGTGACTTCTCGAGAGCTGGCAAGATTTGTTCTTTTGTGCTTTTGTCAAAGTCTTTCAGCTCTGTAAAATTTGTACAGCCCTCTTCAAGAAGACATGAAGGCAAGAGAGTTATTAACGATTATACAGTGTGCACAGTATTTGGGTTGCGCTGTAGATTTTTATCACCATACATCATGCTGCTTGGACCTGAAAGGCTAATTCAAGTATCAGATGCACAGAACTTTCTCCTTTTCACTGAAAAATTTTTACTTTTTGCATCATCCAGGCGAATTTGCCCCTTATACAAATATACATACAAATATACTTGAGAAAAAGTCAGACTTATGGTAATCTCGGCGAGTTTCTACTACGGTACGGTCACAGAAATGTAAGCGGGGAAAAGACCACTGAACTTCATTTTTCAAAGCTCGCCAAGAATATAATTGCAAAAGAATTTGAGATGCAAATGCTTAGGTTTTACGACTTAGCTTGTCGAAAATGTACGCACAATTAACCGAGACCGTTTGCAATAAGAATTGCAAATGTCACCTTCAACAAACTTGAACCATGACTCCAGTTTTCATGTCAGCCCTTGCAGTGTTTCAGAGTTACAAAAACATGATAAAAGTCAATGGACTCATTCATACGTAATTTTTGGTACTTGGCACAAAATTGTTTCCTGAATCAATGCTCTTCTTAAATCTGAAAATCTGTATTGTAAATTATTGGGTGACTTGAAATATGAGGATTGGGGCCATAATGCAGTTTGTTGTATCAAATGTGCCTTACACCAGAAGGAGAAAAGTTGATTCTACAATAGGCCTGAATGATTCAAGTAAATCTGAAATACTACAAAGCAAATTATGGCAGAGCTTGACTGTGAAATGTCCTCCTTTTCGGAGCAATAAAGCGCTGCGATGTATTTTTTATTCCTCATGCTTTAGTGTTTATGCATTGAATTGCGATGCCCTCATGAAATCAATCTTTGTTCCACGTTTATCTGGCAGAGAGTTGATAATGCAAACAACTTGCACAAATTTGTTGCCAATTCAAATATTCTCGGATAGATTTCTGTTGCCAAGCATGACATTTGAAGAAGTCCGCTAAAATGACAGACGCGGCAAGAGCGTCTGCAAAATAAGTGTTAGCCGTAAAGTGGCAAACATTTCGATGGCTTTGTTTGTGTAGAACATCCGAGCGCAAAAACCTCGATGCAACCTCGTCACCCCTTGTTATTTGAAAACCGAATGAGACGGAACCATCAAGATGCAACTGGGTCAAAATATTGATCGGGGCTGAGTTTGCTGTAGACTACTTTTGACAGTGACCTCTAGCCAGTTGCTCTTTCCACCTCTAAACTTGACAATAAAGATTACAATAACTCTGATGCACTACACCTCACTTGAGAAACTCTAGAACTTCAGACCTACAAGATGAACCTAAACCTCTTGGTCACACAAGAACACAGTGTAAAGAGCTAACATAGACTAAACTGGTACTGGAAAAAGGAGTTCCGTCAAATTCATAACTGCACGTAGCAGAACGAGAGACGATTGAGCGCTCTAAACACAATTCCTGCTCCAATCCAAAACTAATCGTTCCTGCGGGCGAATCTACGGTCCCTCAGTTTGGAGGCGTATATCTCAGCGTTAGTGAATCACCTGCGCTGCCGCCTGGGCAGTACCTTAGTTAAGCCCTCAATATTACTTTCCACATAAAATTCCCACACGTCCGGATTTGCGTGGACGCTGCCTATAATAGCGCAAAATGCTTGATAGAGGGCATTTTCCGCTTTGATTAGATATGATGATTAGCGAGACACTTCAGCATGTTACCTATTCTCAAAAGCATTACCTGCCCAAATTCAACAAAAGCCAGTGTGGAAGTAAGTATGCCTCCGTAAGATTTTCGTTCAGTATACAGCAAAGTTTAGCTGCGCTCTGGCACCCTTGAGACAGTGTTAGAACTGTTTGCATTCTGTTGAACTAGGACCGTTACCATTCCGCAAGATTGTATGAAGTAGATGTTTCAAAACCTTCAAACAATTAGTGCCACGTGCTCAACCACCCATCTTACACAGTTCTGGTCATTTGGCTATGTGATAGACTATTGACGGAAGTTCGAAGTGGATCCGAAGTGTCTGACAAAGGTTCCAAATAGATATGAAGAAACAGCGAGATACTTCAAAATCGCAACTCTTCATTCAACAGATATCCATGACAATGTGGTGAATATGTGCAACAACAAGCAATAAATGCGAGTGATGGCTTCTAGGGAATTATGTCCAAGATAGCAGAGTAAGTCAGGAGTATATGGCACAATATGGTATTCGGCTGTACCATTTGAGAAATAATCAGTAAGTGGCGGATGAGTGAATAATGCTTAAGCAAATACCAATTTGGATGCACCGTCCCACTAATTCCACTATCTCACAACGCACGAACTGGCATTTTCCCACCACATCCGCTATACTGCGAAGCTGCAATGCCACTAGTGCGAGAGAGTGAGAACCTTCGAAAGCGAGATTCTGAATGAGGTAGATACGAAAGCTGTTATCCTATCTGTTGCCAAAAGTACCAGCGATATTTCCAAGCGTAACCATATGAACATACCGTGATATTTTTGATAACTTCCGTTAAGTGAAATGAGATTCTCGTGTACACAGTTGTTTCAAAAACGCCAAGCGAAGCACTTTGGTTGGAAAGATTGAGAAGCCGGGCAGCAGCCTGAACAGCAGGTTAATTAAGGGGTTCATCAAACCTAGAGTCTTTTTTTCGTTTTTTTTTTTCGCTTAGTGAGCTCCGTATTCCATATTACATTACGGTGCCCAACACGCAGAACGCAATTTTCTTAACACGTTTCGGACCGCGAAATCGCGCAGCGAAAAAAGAGTGTATATACTTTCAGCCGTTAGTCAACAAAGGGACCTTATTTCGTAGACTGTGGGCTTCTTCTGTAATCGGCATGTCAGGTAAGCTCCACACCCAAAGTTCTAAGCGAATTCGAAGTCTGTGACTTTTGTCGTTTGGAAGGGCTTCTGTGCTTCCTTGAAAGATAGGTGCCTTCATGCCTTCAATCAGTTTCTGATAGTATTCAAAAGTATCTTAGGGTGCCTTCATACCGCGCCGGCAGCCGCCGCTAGCCGCCCGTAGCCGCTTTAACGCACTATCCCACTATTCCAAGGCCTTTCCAAAACGTAGAAAGATTAAGTTACTCGTAATCAGCAGTGGCGTACCCAGGATTTCGGCTCGGGGGGAGGGGGCGACAAAAAAATTTTTTTCAACGAAGGTGCGTGACGTTAGCCACGCACTCCGAAAAAATTTTTGGGATGTTTCCCAAAATTCTTCCGGGCCCATGACCCCAAAATTCCAGAAAAAGAAGGCGTGGCGGCAGCAACGCCCCCGAAAAAAATTTTTTTTACAAAGCTAACTTGAATTTTTAAAAAATTTTAAAAAATTATTTTAATTATTTATAAGTAAATACAAGTCCTCTGCACATTTTTATAACACATTTAAGTAACTTCCAAAAACTTCGCGACCCATCCTCGGGGGGGGGGGGGGGAGCCCCCCCGCCCTCCCCCCCTCGGTACGCCGCTGGTAATCAGATATTGAACAACCCCATCAAACCAAGTTTGAGCAAGATTCATGGTTTCAATTTTGGGATGCGGATACTGGAACAGTGCACAAAAGCGGCTAGCGGCGGCTGTCGGCGCGGTATGAAGGCACCCTAAGGGGTGTGTGACGTTTCGCACGACCGTAATGCTTTCCACACAGGACCACCGCCGCGCGCGACATACCCTGCGGCGGCTTTTGCCTAAGCAAAACACGGGGAGGAAAGATTTGCGGCGTGCATTACATGTTAAGACAAGTCAAAATCAGGGAGACGCTGGAGACCGCCCGTGCGAAAAGACCGTCTCCCCACCCTAAGTTGTACACAGTATACACCATTATTGTAACTACTGTTTTTCTCTTCGAAATCGAAGCAAAGGAAAGTTGTGACGTCGCACGCGTCGTTCGCGTTGCCGCACTTCGTTGTAACTGTTGTTGGTTTGTCCTCACATCTCCTAAACAGATATCGGCGGCAAGCTCTACAAAGTCACTTGAAAAGTAGGAGCTTAGGCCCTTGACTTGTTGACCTTGGATTAAAAGAAAACTTCCTGCAAACGTCAAAAAGACCCGTCAATGCAGCGTGCTGCACTACGTGCAGCACCGGTCCGAGACATGTTAGAGTCGAGACTGCACGGAATCGCCTGGTCGCTGTAGTCTGGACGCACGCGACGTGCCTGCAACGCGGCTGATACGGGCGCTATTATGACTCATGCGTGCGAATATCAATGTTAGCCCGCAAGAGACACGCTTGCGGGCGTTCAGCCCATGCGATTCAGCGCAGTCAACTGTACCTGCGGTAGCGCATCATAGTTTGATTTGCTTGCTGTGCGGTGTAACCACATTTCTGACAAATGCTAAGACGGCGTTTGTGAATTGCTTTTTGCGGCGATTCGTTAAGCCCTACTATCGAGTTGACATATAATTAAAAAATGACGATGGCGTGACCGCGCGCGACAAGCACGCACCTCCGGCAACCGTAATTTATATACCTCATCTTTACTCACGTTTCTGCTTACGTATGTCAGTATCTAGACACTGGAAGTGACTGAGCTGAGCGTTGAGGTAATACGTTCTTATGTGAAGGTTTTATGTTTCTATGGGCGCAGAAACCGCAGTTGGATCCGTTGTCACGATTTCGAAAAATGACCTATACTTCCAACTAGCGACCCTACGGGTCGCTAGCAAGTGGGTCGGGGCAGATACAATATAAGGGCTTAGTTGTGACTACAAATATTTCTAAATGAGTTTCCCATTCCTTTCCTTAGAACATTCTTGCGAGTAGTAATCTACAAAAGGAACACTGCTCGAAGAAGCGATAAATTCCATAAATCATTCAGCATTTCTCGAGAATCCTGCTACAACTATGCATGGAGAATATTATTTTTCTCTTGTTCACCACATTATCTTGAATTTCCCCTCAAACATAAGAACTGCACAAACGTACAAAAAACGTTTCCCTGTCCGATCAAAGAAAAACGATAGTCGAAAAAAACCCCCACATTTCCACCCTCTCAAAGAGAATTTGCTCCTTCAGTTTTTCTCAACAAGTTCCATAAAAGATAGTTAAGTAAGTAGCAAAACGACTATCGCTTTGGAAGTAGAAATACACCCATAACAATTACATGTACTACATAAAACACTTTCCTCTCAGAATCAATTCCGACAGCAACGAAATCAATTGTCCAAGAACTTTGTCAGAGAATCCTTCAATTTTTTCGCCAAAGGAAAATGAAGCTTCACTACAAAAGGAGATCCCTCCCCGAAAAGCACGACTACTGATCCACCTAAAGATCGTCAATCATAAGAACTGCCCCAAACGTACAAAAATCTATTTCTCTGTCCGATCGAGTTGCCCTACGTGCCGCTTACAGACCGATAGTAACTATTCAAAAAGGAAATTCATGCCCTATGTGCCGCTTGAAGACCGAAATCCAACTACGACTCGAACAAAAAGAAAACAACGATTTCAAGTACTTACAGCTTATTTTCAAATTGCCGTGCATGTCACTTTAGGACTTTCAATTCTGAGAACTGCCCCAAGCGCACAAAAATCTGTTTCCCTGCCCGATCGGGTTGCCCTACGTGCCGCTTACAGACCGATAGTAACTATTCAAAAAGGAAATTTATGCCCTATGTGCCGCCTGAAGACCGTTTAAAAATTATAGGAACTCCCCCAAACGTACAAAAATCTGTTTCCCTGCCCGATCGAGTTGCCCTACGTGCCGCTTACAGACCGATACCTAGTTGAAAGCACCAGCGGGACCCAGTCACACAAGCAAAGCAAGGCTGTCGTCAGATAAACGCTTTCAAAAGTACCAGCGAGACCAAGTTACTCACGCACTCTCTTGTCTACACGCGGAAGCAAGATGATCGTAAAGTGACTGCTCTTAGTTAGAGCATTTTTACCAAGATTGAGTTGAGAACATAGATAAATTTAGCTCAAATCAAGCTGTTACGCAATTTGGCATCATTTCAAAAGCAACTAATAGGAGTACAACATATTTGGAAGACATATTCTGGGATAACAAGCTCGAGAAAAAATCAGGTACAAATAACACACCCGGACATTGGCTATCCAGTCAATCATCCCAAATCATTACGACACTCATTATTGCCTTTCGAAATACGTGTGACCCTTTTACGAAAATATGCTTGGTCACTCATTTTGAAATTTGGCAGCGTTCCAAAACGCATGCCACTTGGCAGCAATCCAATTCCAAAGATCAGTGTATTTCATCATAATTTCTCCGTCTGCGGCCTCCTCGTTTGCCTGTTCCAACGATCCGGTTGCTTAATGGGTAAACAACGAATTCGTTATATATTACGTAGTGATAGTCTAGAGACAGGGCTTCAGAATCAAGTATGTTAGAATACCTGTCACCCATAAAAAGTGAATTCTTCTAAAAAAACAGAGAAGAAATAAAGATTCAAAACAAATGCCAAAAGCAGAAGAAACCATTGAAAATCGGAGGAAATGCTGCAATGAGTCTGAAACTTTTTATTTGGCGGCATTTCGAGTTGCTTTTCGCTCCAGGACCAGGCAATCTACAACACTAGGAATAAACAAAGGAAACTAGTTTCTGCTTTGTGATTATTCCAAATCAACATGGTTCGAAAGTGGTTTATCAAGAAGAAAATAAACGAGAAAAGAATCAGTCATGAAAACGTTGTTTTTTCCTAGGTCGATGAGCGTCAAAGAGAATCCAGTTTTTTATGCGTCTTTGAAATACCCCCTTCTCGTAGTCTCTGTTTCTGGCGACGTCTTTATGCTCATAATCTTAAGCAAAATGCCCCTCAAACATGTGAGAAATGTGCATACTGGCTGGCTTCATTTGAGGCCAATTAACAAAAATGTACTTTTACAGCTTTCTGTCAGGTATTTCACCACGATCGAAAAAGTAAGCCCCGCGACGTTGTCTACGAACAGAGATCTATCGAATGCACAGAAAATCGTGTGAAAAGATTTGAACTAGTGGACAAACAAGAGTTTTCCAAAAACACGGTTTTTGTCAAATTCGTCGAAAAATGGAGTTTTGCGACGTTGTTAGCGTAAAAGTAAAGATTGCTTCAATATAAGTTGCTACAATTAAGCTCAGAACAACGAAGATAAGGTTATAAGAGCTAAATGCCCCGTGCCTCGCGTTTGAGGTAGCGAGATAACGCGCCACACAAGGAGACGTAGATACGCAGAGGAAAAAGAGCAGAGCCGACGGGACACTTGGCTCTGGTCATAAATCTCGTCAATCTGGTCATAATCTTTTAACAAAAGCCTGTCGACATCATATATCATTCTGATCGTCATGACACGACTAGAACTGATAACGTCGCAAGACTTGAAAATCACTTCTTAACGAGACGAGACTTTCGTGCGCGAGTCTTTGCGCAAGAGTTAAGCGCAATTTCTTATTTCTGCTGAACTCCAATGGCTCTCATGAGTTTTTGAAATTCACTCGTAACCGAAAAAGAGGTCACTTGAGAAATGATGTTCAAATTCCATCGAAATTTACGCAAGAACTCCGTTTTAGCCCAAAAGAAGGCTATAAAACACAGTTTTCCGGTTTTGTTGAGATGTTTTTGTGATATCACTTACTGCAATTACTTCATTCACATTCATTCCGATATAGTTATGATCATAACATCGCGGCTTCTCCCAAAATGGTGCTGTCATTTTTTGGTGAGGGTTGTGTTCACTTAAGTCGCTCAAAGTGAAGGTTGCTAATGTAATGGCTCTATCTGTGGAAGGTGTTCTTGTTGATAGTTCCTTACATCTGGAAAAAAGAAGACAGTCATCATCATCATCCGCCCATTTCCTCTCATGTAAACGGAAAGGCAGATCTCGTTCACATTTTCGCTCATTTTTGCGGTGAAGAGGAAACACTGCTGAAGCGAGGCGGTCAGATAACAAGACAAGCCTAAACCTAGGCAACTTTAAGCGATTTGAGTATGCGATCTGGCAATTTGTCA